CGGGTGGGACCCTAAAACGACTATCGAGGCATCGTTGGCTGTTGGAGGGACCGGAAGCTGAGATCTCGACCCACAGAAATGGAGGTTCAAGATCCAACGCCAATACCAACGTGCTCAGACAGAGACTCGTCGTCTCCTCGCCGAAGCTCGTGAGAGTCGCGCGGAAGCCCACAATGAGAACGTACCGGAGTCACCCATTAAGGAGGGATCGCAGGTGTGGCTGTACCTCGACCGAGTCAAGGTCGGATACGCTCGGAAGCTCGCTCACATGTGGCATGGGCCTTTCAGAGTCGCCACCATGGTGAGCGACTACACTGCCAAGCTGGAAATCAGCGGGACTGCCTACCGACTGTTCCCTATCGTACACATCTCGAAGCTGAAGCTGGTCCGTCAGTTCCCCGAACGACCCGCCGAAGATCTCACTGTTGATGAAAGCGAACGATTTGACTTTGACGAAGAACTTCTCCCCGAGGATAGCTGGGAGGCACAAACTCGCGGTGACAACGAGTATGAAGTTGAAGAGATCTTGGATGTCAAGACGGAGAGACGCACCCGCTACGGTCGACGGCTCAAGGAATATTTGGTGCGTTGGAAGGGCCACGCAGAGACGAATTGGGTCAAGGAAGAACACCTGAACTGTGGTGGTCTGCTGTTCGACTTCCAGCAGAAGCGACGGAGCCGGCAGAGGTTCCATGTGATGCAATCGCGTGGAGAGGCCGACATCGCCGAAGAGTGAGGCGGTGTTGGGGGGTAGCGTGGTGGACGCTATCCGTAATGATGGATGGTATTTGTTGCATATTTACATTTGATTGAGTGGAAGAAGAAATGGAGAGAAGATCACGCGATGGAATGGAGAAACGAGGTTAGTTGTGATGATCTGGTCGGACATTAGAATTACGACGAACGAGTACTCGGGGGCGACTTGGAGATCCAGCCCGGTATCGCAGTGCTGGAGGCACCTGGGGTGCGAACGCGCGTCCGACGGCTGCTGAAACGCGCTCGCCACGGCGCGCTCGGTCTGTGCGATGGTGAAAACCGGCACCGTTCGTGTCGGAGACTACCTGCGCGTTTTGTCGATTTTAGCCGGATCGCTGTCATCGCCGACTTGGAGATCCAGCCCGGAGCCGCAGTGCAGGAGACACCGAGGGCGTGAAGGCGTGGTCGGTGGCCGTCGGACTAAGTGCAGTCCTACGCCTGGAGTTTGTGCTATGGCCTTGATCACCACAAATCACTTCCCAGAATGCACGGCGACCTACGACATGCCTTCACATCTCCAGTTGGGGAGATCTCCCAGTCATGACATTGACTGTGTACAATTAAGTTGTGGGGCGGGAGTGATATGAAATGGAGTCGAAGCCGGTGTATTACGATGTCGATAAAGAAGATGCATGCTCGAGGAGACTACCCACTAGCTACGTACATTGGTGAAGGAAGAAATGTCGGGCGCTGGAGATTTCCGGGGGTCCTCCTAGGTCTGTTCAGCTGACTCAGGCTAGGCGATTGACGAGGTCGCCTTGAACTTGCCTCGAAGGCGCGTGTGGGTGGGTTCGTTCATCGATGGGTGTTTGACACGAGCGTTCCAGTAGAACAGGCGCCACGGCTCCGCCTCGTCAGTCGTTCGTAAGACGTGTAACAGATCTCCAGAGGCACCAAAAGCTCCGTTTGGGAACCACGGGCACGTTGCGATCAGCGGCAGGAAGAATGGCTCCAGAAGAATGTCCAAGTCGCACACATGAGCCTTGCACAGGCGGGCCACCTCTTCGAACACAGGCAGCAGCATCTTCACAAAGTGGGATCTCCAATTCTTACGATCCGAAGTGAACTTCACCTCCCAAGACTCAGCGCTGGCCTTGGAAATGGAAATCTCGATGGAGTGGGTGATCTCCCAGAACACAAGCGCGCCACGATTTTCGTTCGGAGTCATCGGGGATGATGGCCAGAAGAGGTTGGAAGCGGGGATCACCGATGTCGAACGAGACTGGGTCGGGCATGTTATCCAGGAAGATCTTCCAGAGATTCCCTTTGTATAAAGCTTCGACCGAGGCTTGTGGCCAGGGCCGATAGTCAGCAGGAACGGCCAGCTCCCCCTTCTTAGGGTTGCACACCCCGGCGGGTAGCAGCCAGTCGCGTGGTAAGAACTTCGAAGCGAGGTCTTTGGCTGTAAGCTGGTCAAGGCGGTGACCTGCAACAACCTCCCACAGCCACGGCGTGACATCGGCAGGGCGCGCAGCTTCGCTGGCCTCAGGTGGAATTGCGTGCGTGAATGGACTTCGGGCTGATACAGAGAATCACGGGCTGTCAGACGGAGATCTATGAAAGTCGCTTGTCTGACAATGAGGAGGAGCTACGTACCCATCGCCGTAGAGGAAGACAACTCAGCTGGCGCTCCCTCGGTAGTCGCAACGGCGCGCTTTGCACGCTTCGACTGTGACGTTGGATCAGAAGAGAGATCTCCACTTCGCTTTGCCGAGCCAGACGGGAGCTGCTGCGAAGATGTTCGCGCTGGAGGATCAGAGGAGACAAGGCTCGTGGTCGTTGACGCGAGTGTGGCAAGAGACGAACTGAAAGAGGCCGACGCCACGCATCGTTCCACATCAGGTTGCGGAGTCGGCGCAGGTACCAGATTGATCAAGTTGCGCAACGCTCCAAGGTGTTCCTAACGCTCCGCTAGTTTGCTGCGGAGATCAGCAGAAGAAGCCTGCTCCTTCAGCAGCGACTGTCGACTCGCATCCAGCTCTGCCTGCAACTCGTCGCGAGCGAGGGAGGCCTCCGCTCGCTCTCGTTCTACAAAGCAATAAACGCACAGGTCAGCACAAGAGTCAACCCGCCATGTTAGCACGCGCGATCATGACCTGCAGCCACTGCGCGATCCTGAGCTGTTGCGAGATCAGCCTGACGATGCTCCAAACTGTTCTTGAAGACGACGTTCTCACGCCGTAGAACGGTGTTATTCTGAGTCAGCCGAGTGATCTTCCTCTCCAACTCCTCTAGTCGCTTCCCAGCCACCTTATGCCGCTGTGCGAGATCCGATAACGCTGTCGCTGTGGAGATCAAGGCGTTAGTGATGCAACATCAACAACCTCAGCACTTGGGACGACTTACCACCGTCTTGCGCCTTCTTCGACGCCGCCGCCGCTTCTCGTCGTGCTGCTTCTGCGTCCTCACGAGCTTTGGACGCATCCAAGCGAAGGGCGTCCATCCGTGGCGCTGCTTTGTTGACCAGCGTGCGCGATTGCGCCAACTCGGTCTGCAACCTGTCGATTGTCGCCTCCGCTTGGCGCAATTGATTGCGAGATCTGTCTCGTTCGGCATTGGATCGTTGCAGGGCACGTCCCGCGCGTCCGTCACTAGTCCGATCATCATCAGTGGCAGCATCGCTGGCAGCCAACAGTCGGCCACCTGGGGTCACCGATGCAGTGGGAGGAGGGGTCCAGGTAGCCTTGATATCTGCCAGCTCGATCATCCAGATCTTCGAGGGCGATCTCCAACTGACTGGGGACGACGTTAGAGGGCGATGCTGCAGCGGACGGAGTGACTTCATCGGCATCAGCTGAGCGAGCGGCGACCCGTGCGAGATCTGCGCGTACTTGTCGTTCAGCAGCTTCGGCTTGCTGACGGCGTTCTACTTCGGTGTTCAGGGCCTGCTGGAGATCTCGGAGACGACCGTCGGCTTCGTTGCGCACGCGTTGAACCTCCAGATCGCGATCATGGATGGATCGATGAAGACTTGCAGTGTGGCGATCAGATGCTTCAAGAAGATCCTGGGCGAGGTCAAGACGGCCCCGGAGATCCAGCACCTCGTGATCGAGGGCCGCGGTGACTTGAGCAGCCTGGATAATGCGCGCGCGTTCCGATAGAGATGGCTGCGAACCCGAGTATGGAGCCGCGGCCGGTATAGATCGACCAAGGGAGTGACAGGCGGTGCTATCTCCGTGGCTGTAGGTCGACGACGGGGCAGCACTCAGCAGAGGGACGCCGGCGGCCGACGACGAAGGCGACGACGTGGGTGGAGAAGCAGACATGGTGCAGGTGCTCTACGCGTGGCAGCCACCTGCTCGATAGCCTCACGCGAAGAGAGGGCGAATGTCGTAATGCGGGTTGAAGGATTGTGAGGCGATGGACCGGGAGATTACCCGAAAGTGACCCGAGAGTGAGCAACTTGAATTATGGGACACCCTAGCTCGGCGTCCCGTATAGAAGGCCGGCGACTGATTACGAAACCCGATGGCGTATTTACGGAGATCCAGAACGGGGAGGCCCGTAACAAGGACGATGACACCGCACGGAGCCAGCAGATGACGTCATGAGGTAAAGGCGTGCAGCATACTGGTTGGTCGGCCGGCCGGCAGACGAGCCGCCGGTAGATAGGCAGTTCAGTTCAGAATTTCCAACAACGAGACAAGGTACTTCTTCATATTAGTCTTTGTGTTGTGTGGTTAGCGCCTACGTGTGTGCTGTGACTGTTTCCTACCTACTTTCGAAGTGTACTCGGGGTTCTGGATTGATTTGGCCTCCCCGGTAACCTTCTAGTAGCGTGGTGTGTTGCATTGTCTGGACTCAGGAGATCAGCTCTCAGTGTTCGACAGTAGGACACTCTAAACGGTTTAGTAAGGTATTGGTGCGCGTCTCGCACTTTGGTTTGGACCCGCAGACTAGCTGCGGCAGGAGATCTCCAGTAGATCTCGTACATATTGTACAACAAGTTGTCGTACAGTGGGAAGAGTTACCTCGCTGTACAAGTGCATCCGCGACAGAGTTAACCTAAGTCTCTGCCTGCGAGTGTAAGGAACCCCATATTCACCCCTTCATATTACACGTCTTCTAGGAATTACGCTAGATAAAGATCCGAGTCTTGCTACAAGGGTACACAAGGTGAGGCCTAGAGATCTCGGGACTAGTTCTCGTTGTCTTTGGGTATTTGGCTTACAGGGGTAACCCCCCCCCCCCGTAGTTGCGCGGCAGGACACGTGTGGGAGTTTATTAGTTTTTATCTGAGGGACTCCACCACACCATCTAGGATCCAGACTGAATTTCGTCCAGGATACAGGCGCACGTGCCCACGGTGTGAGTGCACAAAATCTTGGCAGCACTTCGTAAACTCCAGTCGGTCGAAGGTCTCGTCGGTGTTGAAGTAGTCGATGATGCCGTTGATCCCGATGAATGCCAAGACGGACACGCGGGGCTTCCGCTCGAAGTCTCCTCGGATCGCGACTTTCTTGTCGCGAAGAGCGTACCCTCGCTTGCGTATCATGCCTCGGTTGTCGAAAGAGACCTCATCGAGGAAAACAAGGTTGCTGTACCTCCAGTTCACGCAGCTGAGTTCTTCGACGAAACGAAACACGTCCTGCTCCTTTATGTGCATTGCCCGCCGCTCTAAGGCCTTCCAGGTGAAGCCGGCTTCATGGATGATCCGCCACACCGAAGTCTTCGATATCGTGAGGCGATGAGCGTTCTGAAACGTGTTTTGGGCTTCGTCAAGATAGGCAAGAGGGTGAGCATGATAATAGGCTAGCAGCCAGGCTCGATGGTTTTCCGAGAATGTCCTTTCCGAGGGCACCCGAGCGCGTTGGAAGGCTTCAGTCTCCTCGTAGGTCTTGATCCAGTTGCAAATAGCGCGCTCGGACTTGTTGAAGATGTACCCCAGGTGCTGCCTTGTGTAACCGAGCTTGTAGTACGCGTACAAGCAGTGGTAGACCGTGTTCGGATGCGCGTACTGACGGGTTACCGCTTCCTCCATTGTTCACTTCAAATTGCGCACTTCAACACGAGCACTTCAACATGAGAAATACATTGTGATTGGTCTAAAGTAGTTCTGTTTATAGCGAATCAAATGGCCTTGTCGTTTCGCTGCTGGATTTTTGTGACAGCTCGAATCGCTCGAGTTTCGCAATTTTGGGCAGAATCGACAATACACGTTCCAGAATCACAAACATGTCAAACTAAATAATATGTGCGCGAACCCAGAGGATCTGAGTCCATTCATGCTCGCAAGCGACCCACGTTGTGGTGGACTTTGCCCGGCATACGAAATGGACATTCAAATAGTTAACGGTCTCTGGATAGTGATAACGCCTAATCTCGTATCACTAAACACTATCCGGAGGTTAGAGGATGTTTTGACTTGAATTTGTCGTCGGGAGAGCCTTTATTAGTGCTAATCAGAGGGTATTTCTATTCGGGATATCACTCCGAAGAGGATTGTATGTACTATCTTAACAAGTCCATCCTCGATTGTTTCAAGCTGGGTGAATGCAAGTACCAGTGCAGTACATCGCGTCCGCACGCTTCACCTGGATGCAGGTTACTTAGCCGAGTTCTCCCAAATGAATCGTCAATTTAGGTCAGCTTCCACTCCGTCTTCACTCAACCAAAAGCCGCTACGCCATCAATAATATTCGCGTGCAGTTCAGTTAAAACTGAACTGCATACGAATATAAAAGGCTACGTCGGAATCCTCTAACAAGAAGCTAGAGGTGTAGCAGACATACAAGTCTACATGGGTATTACATTAGGGATAAGACACAAGGAGCAGTACAGTACCCTACTGATGGCACGGTAGCATAGCTACTAACCAACCACCTCTACCGCAATTCGCATGTAGAGAGCTGCACCCTATGTTCACCCCGGTAATGCTGATCTGTATTCGTACTTAAAAGTATCATATACAAAATTCAACATGTTGTACTGTATGAGTCACAACTGTAATATTGGGGTTATATCTTATTTGCCGGGTATAATAATTGGTCTGATTGAAAAAAGTATGTATATCGCTTCATATGATTGGTCGATGTAGGTGCCTCTCATACGCGGGTGCAGCTCTCAACAAGCGAATTGCGGTACATGTATTATATTCATAACCCGTCGTAATTTACACGGGACGCTACAATATTCATCATAAACTCTACAGTGGGCATTGTTAGCAGCCTGCTTGGCAGCGATGAAGACGACACCTTCATTACTGCGCTCGGAAGCGCGGCGCGCGACGCTAAAACTTTCGCGATCGTTGAGCTGCATACTCCTCCTGGGAAGACCCGGCTGAAAGCGTGTTCAAGGCTTTCAGACGTCGGGCGCATACAAACCACTTGTGGATTGCCGAAGTGGTAGTCCAAAACCGACTCGTACGAAAAACAGATTTTCGACTGGGCCTGCGTACATTTCCCGTACGCGTATTTAGCACGCACTTATCCGTTTTTGATACTGCTCCATCAACAAGTGTTCTTCCTTCGGGCCCATGCCGCCCTCCTCCCGCCCGCTGTACGTCCGCGTGCTGGACCACGTGCTGCGCCGCAGCTTCGGCCACCCGGTGAGCGTGCAGCTGCTGGCGCTGAGCTCCGTGGGGCTGCTGCTGAGCTTCCTGCTGTTCGCGCTGGCTCCGTGGCTCGATGACGGCTCGCAGCAGCGTTATTTGAGGCAGCTGCTGCCCTCAATTAGCGTCGAGTTCGACTCGTTCGCCGTGGACCACCTCGTCGTGTTTGTAGCCATCTCGCCGCCGGTAATATGGCTACTCCTGGTGCACGTCGCGTACTCGCAGGTTTCGTCTCGAGTTGAAGTCGCGCTGCTCTTCTTGAGGGTGGCCAGCTGCCTCACAGTGAGCTTCGCACTCACGGTGCTGCTGACCGAGTTCCTGTCCAGGAGAGCCATGTTGGCGCTGGTCACGCTCGCGTACGCGTCATTGGGGCTCTTGTATTCGTGGAGTGTACCCATTTGGAAATGGTACCAAGAGGAGGCCCGCACCAGGGGCTTAATTGGGTTCCTGCCGCAGTCCGCGCAGGAGCTTCTACTGCAGACGTCGCTGCTGAAATGGCTCACCGACACGAGCTTTTCCGACAAAGTGGCTCCATTCCTGCCCTTCCTGCTGCCGCTGTCCAGGGCCGAGCAGATGAGGTTGATGGAGCAAATGCCGCCCGAGTCCCAAATGATGCTGACCAAGCCCGGCCTGTTGCCTTTGCTGCCGGACTCCATGCAGAAAGTTTTGCTGCCAGCAGAAGACAGTGACAGTGACCAAGAGGATGACACGAAAGACGCGAGCAAGATGGCTACACAAGAGCGGACGTTGGCTGTGCGGGAGCAGACTGAAGCTGAAGCGGATATCAGAGCCGAGCAGAGGAAATTGCTGACGCTGACGGCCTCGACGACTGCAGGGTTTGATTTCCACCGCCCCGACGTGGTGCGTACCGTGCGTACTCCGCCGTCAAGAGAGCAGGTGCTGAACGAGATCGTGGCGTCTCGGGTGTGGAACGGGTGCAAGGAGCTGGTCAAGATCCCGAGCTCCACGACGCTGAACCGCACGGCGGCGATGTCGAGCGCGTTGCTGGTGATGCAGCTCTATGCGTCACGCGGCAGTCGGAGGGTGTTCCTTACGTTCGTGCAGTTCGTCGCGGCCTCGGCACTGAGCTCTGTCGCCTGCTGTGCGATCTTCTTGCGGTTTGTGCAGCTCCTGGATCCGAAGTGGACGTCGGGTCGAGCCGTGCCGCTGCTCCGTTACGCGAGGCAGTATTTGCTCCGCAATGGGAATTCTGGAACAGCGCAAATTTCAGATCAAGCTACCAACGGAGGATCATCTAAGCTGCACACCGCGGCTTCATCAGTGTCCGTGGTGGTTGCGGCTCTCTATGTTCTGCGCAAGTTGCGTCGCTGAGAGTGGACGAAGTACTGAAGTGGCAGAAGTGCTTGTTGGCAGTCCGATGCGAGGCTGCTCTGGAACTTGGTCGACATGTTAAAACTGGCAGCTTGAAATATATGTGCGTGCGCCCCTCACTACCAGCGTTTTCAGTTACTACGGTATCCATTGTATCAAAGTGTCTATTTTTGGCTTATGGGAGTTGCTGCAGTCGCCTTGCGGGCATTATGTCGTGCAGCAACATAACGTACTGAAGCAGGCTCCTATGTAAGCATCCACAGCTCACACGAAGTGTGAGTTGTACCCAGTGAATATCGATTTATCATTTCGGTGTGGATGACCCAACAGATTTCGCTACGAGTGTGGTGCTGAGCCACCGGCGGACTAGCCAAGCACCGATCGATTCCAGTGAGTTCGCAACTTCAGTGACGCTGCAGCTTCAATGAGGTACGTCACCACCTGCAGCGTCTTCAACGTGAATTCGACACACTCCCATCTGGTTTTCAGTCGCGGGTTGTTTCCACGTTGGGATGTACTTTCGGATGGGGTCCGGCCGACACCATCCTGGAGTCTATCCTACCGCAACGACGAGATTGGGGAAGAGTGCACCGATGCGATGGTGTTCCGGATCTCCCTCCACGTCACTAAGGTAAGCGTATTTTGAAAATACGCGCGCTTCCAGGCTGGTTTGCCTCCATGGTGGCGAGCTTCACCGCGTACCTGCCTGCTGCATGAAAAACCTCTTTGCCTTCCATCCCCCCCTCCTCCCACCTCAGCGCGCGCTCTTCGTCTGCTTACATATCCATTCAATTATCACGTATCAAGAGTGCATCTCGATTATCAACGGCTGGGGGCCAGGGACTTCGATGACCTTCTTAAAAAAGGCGAAACTAAGCGGTGTCCTCCTCCTCCTTCTTCTTCCTGTTGACCATGTCGATCCCGTACGGGCCGTACTTGAGATTGCGGAAGTACGCCGCGTAGGCCGTGGCCACGACCCAGTCCACCTTGCCGCCCTGCGCGATGAGCATCGTGTTGACTTCCGTCGGCGTCATGTTGGCGTTGTACCAGGAGCTGAACTTGATCTTCATGACCGCGTCCTTGAGCTTCTGCAGCACCGAGGCGCCGACGGCGCGGTCCTCGACGTCCTCGGTCTCTTCGACGATCCGCAGGAGACGCTCGACGTCCACGTTGTTCTGGTCAGCGAGCGCACGAACAGCATCCGACGACTCCACCTTGGTGTTGGCAGCAGCCACAGTGTTGGTGGTCGAGAAGAGGGCGACCGCAGCCACAAGAACGACGAAGCAGAAGCGCATGGTTAGGACTGGAAGTCGTTCCTCGATACAGTACCTTGGTTGCTGGAGAGTGAATCGCGGACTGGAAAAAAAAATGGGAACAGACGAACGGCAAAAAATGAGTATGAGTTCAGCTGGTGAACACACAAGCGCACAGTGATCGATTTTCAAAATGCAGCACCTGGGAACCGTATGATTTCCATCGCAAGTTGTGCCTTCACAAGTTTCGGAAATTCCCTCTCCGAGGTCGATTCGTGATACAGTACCTTTCAAGGAACTCTTCGGCCGAACGCGGTCGACTCACACGTAAAAATTCTAAATACTCTAATGAAAGCACAGGGCGGGGTTGATGGAGTTTGAAGCTGGATCATTCCCTGTGAGTTTGGGTGCGAACCGCATCATGCGCCGAAGATCCTACGTAAGGAAATACATGTACCGTCACTGGACCCCACGATGCGATTATGGGACGGTATCTCAATATCTCAATACCGTCCCATAATCGCATCGTGGGGCTTAAGCGCTCTATTCAGACCGCGTCAAACGAAATAATGCTTACGAACCTAAGTTCGAATCGCGATTCATGCTCTTTCGTAAGACGATACTTAGCCCCAGAATGCCTATCATAAGACAAAGCGTCTCACGTTTTCCGATCAACGCATTTTGACTACATCTTGGTTTTTGTATACCAGTGGCTACATTGCATATTGTCTGTCAAAACATAAGACAGTTTGTCGGACACTAGTTTGCGCCATACAATTGGCCAAAAATGTTCAGGTCACAGCGGCATCGTTGCCGCGGACGCGGTGGCAACGTTGAGCGCCGAAACGATGCAGTTGCACGGTGCGGTAGGGTAAGTAGCCTCTTGTTCACACACGAAGCGATGTGCCTGTAGTTGGCCGCTGGCAGCAAGCTTAAATATTGGCATAATGACTGCACGAACGTGTGCATGCAGTCCGTGAAGCTGTTCCACTCAGAGGTGCAGCCGTTGTAGGGCACGGAGTTACGATGAAGTTGTCAGACGTAAACTAAGAGGGACAAATAGCTCGTAACGGTACTACATGTACATTTTAATGTAGTAAATTTTATGCTTGAGCGTATATCATAGTAGTTGTGAACGCGTGGCAGCCAGGGAACGGTGTTGCCAGTGGGCTTCCCAAGATCCTCCAACCCCCTCTTACCTAATCATTACAGTCCAGCAACAAAGTGCAACCACGTACTCTGCAACGGCGATAATACCTAGATCTTATACCTACGACGCTGAGGTGCGGAGGAGCTCCACACTGCTGCGCGGGCGCTCGGCGCGCGCCATATCGCTGCTGGGCTCGACCTTCGGCATCGGCGAGTTACTCGGTATCTCCTGCAACTAAGCCACTGCCTGCAGCCATGCTTTTTGTCGATGCTACAGCGTAGACCGGTTTGCGTATGCGCGCTCTATCCGGATCTCCATCTTCTATGTAGTGTTAGTACTTTACTGTAGAAAGGAGAGTTGGCGTGGTGGGGTGAACGGCAACAGTCGTTCACCCCAGTAAAGCGAAGAAACATTGCTCCACTACGGGAACAAACGGTCGCATGATAACTGTGCTATGATGTCCTTACATTCCATTCCTGGCAAGTATATTTAAATCTTCTACAGGAGGTTAGTGCATGGCGTCAGGATCAAAGGCCCGGACATTTCAAGGGGCATTTTTCTAGTGCGCTGCCTCTAGTAAAGGGGGCAAAATGCGCACACAGATAAATCAGTCCAATTTACAAGCCGAGATGCAGCAACACTCGAGACTACATAATACAATATTAACCAATGAAATTGCTACATTTGATTTGTCGTCAAACTGTCTTACGAATGCTCGACACAAAAAAGTGCGACTAAGTAAACAACACCGGACCCGTACAATAGAGCGTATTTTACCCTGCAACTTCCATCTACTGAGAGTAACTCTGACGTGGGAATGTAAATTCAGCTGATACCTGCCACGTAACTCTACTAACAGTACTTCCAACAGAAAACATTTTTTTTACATGCGCACAATCGAAATGGATAACATTAGAACTCAATAAAAGCCCACCGGAGCGAAGCGGAGGTGGGCGGCCCTCACTACTACGACTAACCACAAAACTATCCGCCGCGTAGCGGCGGCGCTCGGCTAGTTCTCCGTCCTCTAACCGAGAGTCCTGTCGGTGAGTTCGTCACGCTTTACGCACCTACAGCATAGACCTGTCATTTTGACTACGTTACCGCGGACCTAACAGATGCATTATTCACTCATCAAATCGACTCGCACTGGCTTTTAAACTATTTACGAAATTTCAAAACTAGACACAATCACGCTAAAAATCGTACTTACGCGGAAATAATCGGACTTTAACGGGTGTGATTATCACATCCCCCATTTTGAAAGTTGGCGCGCGGCGAACGAACGGACCGAGGAAGCGAGCGGGAGGGCGCGTGGCGTACGGGAGTGAGCAGCGGAGTGCAGCGGTAGCGGACACTACTATAGTGAGTACATGCATACATCTACATAAATAAAGTACTTTACGGTTTCGGGAGTTCCGCCTGTTGGGATAACTGGTACCTTCAGGGCAGTCGAGGGTTTACAGTACGGAATTAGGGGTAGACTGGTGCTTATTAGGCGTTCATCTTCAAATACACCAAGAATGTGTGCGAACGACGCATTTAGACCACCTAACGCTGCACATAGATTAACTGATAAACAGCACGCGGCGTGGTGTAGCTGGCAATCGTGCTGTATTCATTTGCAGGAATCAAGCATTATAATACACCAATTTGAATAGTCGCGTGCTCAACTTAAGTTACTACGTAGTAGTAGATGGTCGAATTAAGTAAACCCAGGTGCATCACCAGTGCGCGCATCGAGGCGTCATACCTACGACTTTTTATGTTTTTATTAAGCTGATTAATGGCAGGATCTTGCTGCAGTCCAACACTCGCTTCCATAGGAACGATAGTCGCATCAGCCAAGTGACAACAATGCACTCCAACTCAAATCAAAATCGATCATATCCCAGGTACCCTAACTCTCGCGCTTCAACAAAACAATTTTAGAAAACGCTGCTCGAATTGCGCGCAGCGCACAACAGCATGGTCGTGCGCAATTTCGAATTACTATTACTAAGTGCTGTACGCCATGCACCAAGAGCAATAACGCGTTATAAATCCAGATGAAAGATGCAGAGTAGGCAAAGCGTAGAATATGGCAACGCATGCAGCTTTCAAAATAAATGCGCGCTGCTACCCTAGATACGTGTACCGTAAACTACTGCAGCATGCACATAATGCAGCATAGTGTAGACATTGTCGTTAGAGCAATATATATATATGAACCTATTGGCCGGACCCCGGAGTCCCGCATCATGTACCGATGGCGACCGGAATTATTTATTTTTATCGGCAGGGCAGTGATAATATATATGTTGTGATAATTTTGTGATAATTTTTCGAGTTTAGTTAGAGCTCATTTCACCTTCAAGCATCTAGCATCCAGTATGAAGTCTAGGCGAACTGGAGGTGCAGAGGTTCCTCGGCGCAAACGTGATACTTAAGTATTGAAATCGTCGTGACCACAAAGCTTCTGCATTCGTTCGTTCTGTTAAGCGTCTTGGTGAAGATACGACCAAGAAGATTCAAGCTGACTGCTAGAAGCTAGCGCCTACTACAGCAGCAGCGGCGTCGGGCACGCAAAGTTGCGAACTCTGCAACTCTGTGCAACTCGATAGTCGATACTACCAGAGATACATAGCATCGATACAAACATGCAGCACTTGAATTTACCGAATATACCGGTTGCTTATGACAGCTGGCGGGGCAAGCGGGGACCCCGAGGTCCCGCCAAACGCTTCATATGCATATGCACGATACACAACGACCTAACCATCGAAGACGCACAGTCGCTACCGATCCGTATTGAGTTGAGCTAAATTTGCTATGTCTATTTGAACTGTTATCGCGCAAACCAGCATTTGTGGTGTAGCGGGACCAGCCAAAAACTGGTTAAGGCCTGATCGAGCTTCCTACCAGCGCCCAGAAACCGACTAACGGAGGGGGACCCCCAACGATCCGTGATCGGCTGAACTTGCTCTCACCTTGGATGCACAAGGCTTCATTCTGAACGATGTCACGGTAAACGACGCGGAGTATCACGGCTTACTGAATGGGTTGACCATGGCACTTGACCGTGGGATCACGGACCTGATTGTGGTTGGAGACTCTCGCATCGTGATACAGCAGGTCCAAGGGCTGATCAATTGTAACCAGCCCAACCTGCAACGGATTTATGTTTAGCTGGTGTCTCTCTACCGCTACCATCTCATCTACCATCCTACAACTCCACAACCACTGGATTGTTGTCCTGACTTCGTCCTCCAGGTGCATCCCATCGTGGTCGATCCCCGATTGACGATCCTATCGGACTCCGGTCGTGATTGTGTATGCGAGTGACTGGGCGATCTCGGCCGCATTGATGCAGGAACACGCCCAGATCTATCATCCCGTTACCTTCGCCAGTCGAACGCTGAAGTCGAATGAATTGAACTACAATGTGGTGGAGAAAGAAGTACTGGTGCTGTTACGGATCCTGGACCTGAACTATAACATGCTGGTTGGACGATCGATCCGGGTCTTGACCCGACACTCGACGTTGGCGTGGCTGTTCCGATCGCCCGGCCTTCAAGGCCGATTGGGTCAGTGGGCTGCACTCCTATCGCCCTGGACACTGGAGATTACGAAGTGCACCAAGGGAGAGGACGAGATATGGGGGGCGATCGCCGCTAGTATTACGCCTCGATCGGATTTGGACGACGCGTTGATCGCGATCGCGCCGAAGAAAGAACCCCGGCGGAAGATTCAAGCCCCGATCCCGACTGTGCGCGTGGATGAAGAGCTGTTGGTGATAAGTTTCGATGGATCCGCCCGCGTCAAGCGAGGCGGGAGCGCGTACAGCGCGATCTTGTGGAAGTTACCCGAATGGAGTGTGGTGAAGGCACGATCGGGGTATGCTGAAGGGTTGACTGTTAACGAGGCGGAGTATCATGGTCTATTGTTGGGTTTCGACCTCCTTGACGGCGTAGATCGAGGCAGGTTGGTGGTCTGCGGTGATTCCAACCTGGTGATCCGGCAAATACGGGGCGAGATCGACTGCAAAGCACCTAGGCTGACATTGTTGAAGCAGAAGGTGCTGGACCAACGACGGAACTGGCCAGATCACGAGCTGTTACGCCGACGCAGGATCCTCGATGAAGACAGCGCAGATGATGAAGGAGACAATGATGAAGAGGTACGCTATGCTGCACGAAGGCAACATGATGTGCTGGATATTGTCGTTTATTCAACATATCGCTAACATAAGTTTACTGTTTATTAGATTCTACGTAGATTCAAGTGAGGTGGAGGGTGTCTGTGCAGACGCCGCCGGAGTGAACGCACGTGTTGATGTTTCACTGGATTGCGTTATCGACGGTGACCCCAATTTGATGGACGACGGGGCCGCCGCTTGTACAGGCCTCAACTTGGACGAAGATCCCGACGTGCGCGAGGAACCGGAGGACGAAGAAGACGCAGAGGACGACGACAGCTGGTACGGCGACTGGGATATCGGCCAACTGACTGACGAAGAATCGGAGGAGGAGCGGGAGGAGGTTCCTGAGTCTGTGTGTTCGTCTGCCGCGAAGGACAGCATTTATTTAGTACATCACGGCGATGAGAGATATCGGGTGGGAATATGGTAAGTTGGACTTACTCAACATAAGTGAGCGGCTGTGTATTTGTATCCAACATATTTCCTAACATAAGCTTTTGGCACTATTTACAGATGAATCGAAGTTTGGCCCAAACCACACGTATGCCGACCTTTACGATGGTCCATTCGGCCCAACCCCCAGCGTTCTCGAAGTTGCCGAAGACCCATTGGCGCTTCTGTTCTACTTCATGCCGCCCAAGCTCTGGGCTCAGATTGCAGTGGAGAGCAATACGTACCACCGACAGTCCATTCCCGAGCGCGCGAGGGCAATCCGAAAGCAGCAGCGCAAGAGTAGTGGCGAAGTTGAAGACCTCGGCGACATTCGGCGTCGCCTCGCTGGTGTCAAGGACATTGAAGGCTACGAGGTGCTGCAGGTGATGGGCCTGCTCATTGCCAGGATGCTGGCGCCGATTCGCAAGGGCATTGTAGCGCATTGGTCAGTGGCGAAGGTGGGTGCCATGCCTGCGAATCGCTTCAGCTTGTTCATGAGCAAGAACCGGTTCTTCCACATCATGGACTACATGCACTTTTCCAACAACAAGTCTCCGAGGGCGAAGACGGACCGAGCCTGGAAGATCCGTCCGGTCGTCGACGTGCTACAGAGGACCTTCGCCCGCGGTTACCGTGTCCCTCCTATCATCAGCTTCGATGAAGCAACGCTGCCGTCGCGTTCCCGATACAAACCCACTCAGCAGTTCAACAAGGACAAGCCTCACAAGCGGGGGACAAAGGTGTTCGTCGCAGCTTGTGCCAAGAAAGCTTACTGCATGAGGTGAGGAGACCCGTGGCGAGTCGGAACTCGCCACGGGATTTGTTTTTGGCCTAAGGCCTTAAGTTGGATGATAACCAACATTAAAGCTGCTAGGAATGTGATTGTCTAACATAGAGCTAACTTTATTGATGTGATTGCCTTACTACCAGAATTGAAGTGTACTGCGGGACCAAGGCGCACTTGCAGACACCCGTGCCGACGGACAACAACTCTGGAGAAGCTGCAGTACTGCGCAACATGAATGCGCTATGCCCGCCGTCGCCAACTTCCCCGTGGCGACTGGTGATTACAGACAGGTTCTACACGTCGGTGAAGCTGGCGCTGGAGCTGCTGCATCGCCGGCTGTACATCACTGGCACGATCCAGACGGACCGGTCCGGCTACACCAAGAACGTCATCACGAAGAAGAAGACCAAGCAGGTGAACAAGCGAAAAGTGATGGTGCCTCCGCAGGGGACCACGAAGCTAGCGGAGAACAAGCAGTTCCCTCAATTGACGGCAGTCATGTGGATGGACCGCCTTCCGGTGCACATGCTGTCGACAGGAGGCAGTCGACGCACCATCTCCATCCGTACGCATGCTCTTACTTTCTACAATGGATCGATTGCTAACCTAACTGTGGTATCGGAAAATGACAGTTCCCGGAGCGATCGCCCGTCGCCTAAGAATCAAGGTACAATCAAGGAGCAGTCAAGCGCGAGATGGAGGTAGCCGCTTTTGTTAGGCTGACTACATTATCCTCGTTGGACTGACAGATAGGTGCCGGAGCCTCGTCGGGTCCTAATACAACCCCGAACGAGGCTTCATGGTACCCACTTTTAGGTACATATGCATTTAGTTGCGTACTTCGACCGCGCTTATTAGTGTGGCCGTGGTCGTCATTTGATGTGTCCAGGATCGCCCCGTTGCGATCGTTCACACTTGATATTTGTATAGGGACATAGGACTAGTCAAAGGATGACCAGAACGAGGCTCCCAGAGCCTCACAAACTCAGTAATAAAAAGACAGTCTTCCCCCAAAGCAAGTCCGACTTCGGTAAGTGTAGCTAGCTTATTGCAGTGCCTGGACACGCTCGGCTGCGTGTGGATGCCTGTCGGGGAGCTTATCGTGCATTGACCGAGAGTTTCCTTGGCAGCGCCAAGAGTTGGCGTGGCCGGAGAGGCAGGAACGGTATTAGAGTATCGTTCGGTATATATTTGTGGGATTAGAGTATCCCTGAGTGTATTAGTCTACCTACCGAGGTTTTACCTTGGTCCCCCTGTATAAGGCCTAACACGTCGGTACCCTTCCTTTCTGAGGGACTGCAGTGGGGTTGCGCGAAAGCGCCACATAGTATCCTAGCCTAAGCTCGTGGCTAGTGGTACAGGTTTTTGGGTTGGCCGAAGACAACCTAAGGTGCACAGAGGCGCTTGCAACCGACCCGGTGTAAGGGATCGTTCCTGGTCTTCAGGTTTTGATCCAACAAGCGCTTACCTTTGCGGGTTAGCGTGTTGTTGGTGTCTCCAATACCTTTTGGTAGAGGAGGATTCTAGTGGAATTACTACCACACCACAACTGGTGCCGCGACCCGGGATTGGTGCGATCTTCTGTGTGTCTGGGTTGTTGTAGGTCTTACCCCAACGAGAAGAGAAGAGAAGAAGAAGAAGACGTGTGAAGATGGCGAAAGGAGTCAAGTCAGCGGTACCAGCGACTCCGGTGAAGTCGAGTGAAACGCGCAACGAGGCTTCGATGCTCTCCGGGAGTTCGTGCTCCACCCCAGCGACGGATCGGATGGAGTCGATCGACGAGCGCTCGGTGAACTACGACACGGCGATTGGTTCATCGGACGCCAAGGAAGATGATGAAGACGATGACTGGGATGTCAGGACTGTGATGTCCGAGACTTCGGAGGCCGCGGTTGTGTCGGCCGGCCGCAGTGGAGGATCGAGGTCGATCACCCGCGACCTCTCCGAAACGTTCAACGGCATGCCGGGCCCCGAGCCCGCCTGCGACGCGGATGACGGTGCGACCGAGGGTTTCAAAGCCTCGGTGACCGTAGGAGGGGCAACCTCCAAGCCGGTTGGCACTCGTCCTCCCCTCAACGGCGATACTCCGGCGGCCAACAAGGTTCTAGGCCGATGCCTGGAGCTGATGAAGGCCAAAAGTGAGCGGATGCAGTTGTTCTCCCCGAAGCAGGTCCGCCAGGCCATCTGGATGGACCTCGGAGGGGCTTTGGCAACGCCGATCAACTCAGCGAGCACTCGGCAGGTCGTTCAGAACACTGTGGACCTCCTGCGTGCAATGGGGTGCGAGCCCCAAATTCTCCCGACGGAGGCTGCACTCGCGAGCTGGACGCCAACCACCGCCGCCATGGCGCTTACCAAGTGGAGGAAGAAGTTACGTGAGGCCTTTGGGGTGGCAGACCGAGGCTCAACGAAGCTTCGTTCGGCCCCGGAAGCGGTTGACCCCTCCAAGGTCCCGCTACCAGCGACCCCTCGGAAGGCAGCCACGGATGACGGAGTCTTCGCAGTCAAGGGCGAGGCTTCGTCTTACATGCCAGACTCGCACATGGTAACCCCACGATCTACGGACCGTACTGAACGTCTGGCTAGGGAGACCGAGGTTTCGTACGCAACGCCTGGCACGCGCGGGGCAACCGGTCGCCGGTCCAGCCGCTGTTACGACCTCCGAGATGGCTCGTCGGACAGTGACGATGATCTCGGGTCCGACTGTTACGAAGGCGACCTGCCAAGCGAATGGGCTCGTCAGGTGCGCGAACGGAGCGCGACTGACAATCAGAGCTCAACCCCGAAGCTCGAGATTAACACGCATCTACCTCTCTGCAACGTCAAGTCGTTGTACGGTGTGCGCGACAAGAGCGAACACTCCATGCAGTGGCTTCGCACGTTCGTCTACGAGATGAGGGGGACACATACACCGCCCAACGAGTGGTGCATGCCGTTCGAACTCAAGCTCAGAGATGGGGCTTTGTATTGGTGCCGCCAGCTTCCACGCAAGACGAGACGCACGTGGAAACTGTTGTGCGAGGCATTCATTAAGTACTACTGCTCGAAGTTCTCCCAGTCTGCGAAGGCTCGGTATTACTCGGCCAAGCGATAGGACAAGGAGCACGTATGTGACTACCTCAACCGGCTTAACGGCTCCGCTCGCAACGCCGGCGCGCAGTATGAGAACGGTGGACGTGACGCGAAGGACCATGTGGAACACTTCTTAGTTACGTGTGACGACCGAAACTTAGAAGGCCGTATGTGCCACGTTCGGGTCAAGTGCATTCATGACCTCGAAGACATGATCAGCGACATTCTGCGTCACCGCGACCGAAAGTCGACCCGCGAATCATCGTTCCGCCGCTCCCGTAGTCAAGATGCCAGTCGCCGTCGCGACGCGCGGTCGAACGAGGATTCTCGAAGTGGTTATCGCCGTGAACGACGTTACCGCGACGAGGACCACCGCGAACGACGTTACCGTGGTGACGACCGCCACACCGGTCGTCGTGATGACGACCGCCGCCGTGACCGACGTGACGGGTCACCGCACCAGTCGAGGGTGGCTTTGGTCGACGCCCTTGCCGATGTAATGGCGGAATGGAACGTCGGATGCTTGGTCGGTGCACGCAACGAGGCTTCATACGCCTCCCGACGTGATGCTGAGGCGAACGAGGATTACTTCGAGGATGAGCACCAATACTCGGACGACCAACGCTCGGACGAGGATTCAGACGCTGATTACGACTCGCATGAGTCTACACGACATGTCGCTGCCGCTAACGATGCTGAGCGCAGGGCCGCAGCCGAAGGAACGTTCGCTCGGTCTGATAACTGACGCTTCAGGAACGGAGGAAGCCCGTCCAACCGTGAACGAGATGGTCGGCGCCAGTATGGCCCGTGTGCCGCGTGCGGAAGCCCGTCCCACTCGGTGCACTTCTGCTACCGGCGGTGCAAACTGTGCAAACAGGTGCACGACGTTGGGGAGTGTGAAGCACTCCACGAGCTCACCAAGCTCCTGAAGTCCAAGGTCGACAAGAAGGATCTGTCGCCAGAGCTGCAAAGCTTGGTGTATGGAAGCCATTTAAACTAGGCAGCCCGCCAACTGAAACTGGGTTGGTCCCAATCGGGCTGCCACAGTTAGCTGAGCCTGCTGTTGATGCGGACGATCTGTTCGTGTTCACGGGCGAAAGCAAACGGCCTGACGACCTGAAGAACAATGAACGTGTGAAACCGACGGAAAATGGAGAGAACCGAGATGCAAGTCTCGTTGAGATTGGTATTGATGAAGATGATGATGATGAACGTGATGGACACCCGACCGAGGCTTTGATCACAAGTGTAGCCCAGATCAGGGGACCACCTCGCAGCCTCGTTCGGGCGGTGAAATTACTGCCCGGTGAGAGACTGGGGTGGTGGTCGTCCCAACGATACGACAAGAGGAAGCGAATGAGAGCTTTGGTCAATGGCGCTGTGGACGACGCGCGAACGAGGATACTCCTTGACACTGGAGCGAATGTTAGCGTGATTTCTGCCAGCTTCGCCAAGCGGCTACGTGTGCGAGAAGTCCGGGACCACGGACGAAGTCTCGAAGTCCGCGGCATCAACCCAGGGGTGATGGAGACCCGGCGACGGAAGCTCGTTAAGATCACCCTCGGGTGGGAGCAGGTCTACGAATTTGAAATGTGGATAATGGATCACAGTGCCGGGGTTGATGTGGTCCTTGGGATGGACTTCATGATCCCGGCTGGAATCCGGCTGGATCTATTTCATGGCACCGCACGCCTTCCGGACGAGGTCATGGTACCACTGCTGAAGTCGCAGAGTGTTGAAGATGACGAACCTTACGGCACGCAGCCTTCGTGTGGGCCGACCGAAGATTATACGTACCCGGTCGCGAGTGGCGAGAGTTTCGACTGCCGCGCCTGCGGCTACCTCGTTCGGAGTACGATGTGTGGGTACGACGCACGGACAAGCTCGTGCCGACCGTAACGAGGCTTCGACGGGGGCAGCCGACGTGGGTACGGCTCACCAATATTACGACCACAGCGGCACAGTGTGCGAAGCATGACTCCGTGATGCTGTGGGTACCGCATGGTGAACTACCGCGAGAGACTGGCTACGCGAGGTTGGATTCTAACCAGTACAAAGAGCATGGCTTTCCTACGTGCAAGGGAAGACTGATCACAGCTGGAGCGACGGTGACTACGTCTTTCCGGCGCTGTCATGTGGCAAGCCGGACTGTGGATGATCGTGCTCGAACCGTGGCGTGATTTGGGGTCGACCCAAGCCCAGATCGACGACAGATCTCGCAGATCTAGGACGGCCGAGGGCGGAAGATGATGGATCGGCGGCGTGCGGCAACCGGCACAAGTCATCGATCGAGATTTGATCGCCGATCGCCGATCGGGAGTCGATCGCAGACCGGGAGTCGATCGTGGATCGGGAGCCGATCGCGCCGGCGTCATCGGGCCACTTGAGATCTCCCGAAGAACTCCCTCTGATCCACAGATCCTTGCTGCCTGTCTCTCGATCGCTGATCTCCCATACTTCCAGTCGATCGGCCCTGCCGCCTTTCTCAGAGAACAATTCTTATTCAGCACTTCTCCCCATCCACCCCCTGGCCGCAAGTCGGGTCGTACGGCAGCTCACTGCGGACACAGTCTCCAACTCTCCATGCATCTCCATGGCCTAGTCTGCCCAGATCAATCCGCTTGGTTGAGGCGAGCAATCCCGATCGCTTAGTGGAACCGATACTCGAATCGTATCCGGCGCTGTAGATCTCGCGTCTTCGCAACGAGTTCAACCACGACGTCGGGGCTCAGCCGCGACCGTAGCATCGCTCATCGTAATACCCCCAACTCCTCGTCGATCACCATTTCTCTCGAGTCGATCCATCCGTCGCCAACAGGATCAGCGAAGATCCACCATCGTAACTCCCTGTTGTCGCTCCATAATCATCCGATCTGCACTCACACGCACATACTCAGTAATATGAAACCCCTTCCTCCGATCGACGGCCTCCCCGTCGATCCGCCATCCATCTCGCTCACCAAGGTGACCCGCTCACCCTGGTGGCCCGATCTCACTCCTCCTCGTGAGACTGCATCGCGCCAAATCGGTTCCGGTTCATGCGATCTCGAAGGAACTCGTGCAACAAAGCTCCACAGTTGAGATCAGCTTCGTCGACCCAGTCAGGCTCGTTGTAACCCTTCCAGTGTACCAGGAATTCTCGATAAGTCCGGCCGTACCGCGTCCTTCGACCCGTCCGCATGTCCGTGATCTCATCTACTTCGTACTCATTCGCGTCTCGAGCTGGGGCCCAGCTGTCCTCCGGAAGTAAGACTTCGTCGAAATCGAGTCGATCCGCTGCGTCCACCGTGAGCGCGATCTGCGGTCGATCGGGGAAGTCTCTGACCAACTTCAGCTTCGAGACATGCACGATCGGGAACAGGTGATAGTCCGTACCAGCGATCTGAAGCTTCATCGTATACTCGTTCACCTTCTCCGCAACACGGAACGGGCCGTGCCACAGGTGGGCCAACTTCCGGGCATACCCCTCTTTCACTCGATCCAGGTACAGTCACACCTGAGATCCAGCTTCGATCGAGTGTGGTCGAACTTCTTCCTTGTGTCGATCGGCCCGACCCGGAAATGCAACTACAGGCCTTGGATCAACTCCAGGCCGACCGATCGGAGCGAACAACCCTCGATCGGAGCGTATACTCGGACGCAGAGCGAAGATTCCCGCGCTGCTCCACAACCTATCGCCGCGTCACGCCAAGACATTCGATCTTCACCAAGTGCTGCATCTTTGGAGCCCCGAGAGAGCAGATCCAACCCGCCGACGGGTACACAAGGTGAGAACAAGTTCAGCCGATCACGGATCGTTGGGGGACCCCCTCCGTTAGTCGGTTTCTGGGCGCTGGTGGGAAGCTCGATCAGGCCTTAACCAGATTTTGGCTGATCCCGCTACACCACAATGGTGCGCGTGCCCGGATCTTTTGGGGACTCCGGATTTCACCGTGAGTCCGTAGAAGATGCGCAAGTGAAGAAAAAACCAGGGGAAGAGGCGTCGTCGGATATCGGATCGACGAAGACGCTGCTGAACAAAACGAGATCCGCGGATCGACAGAGTGCTCGGAGGACTTCTGTTGACGGAATCGAGGGCGATCTGGGCACAGATCTAGAAGACAAACCTCAACATCCTCCCCAGGTCCCTTCGGGGACTCCGGTGGATCTTGGGGCGAACCGAGATTCACTAACAAAACAAACTAAGGCGGGATCCGACCGATACGCGTTCGCCGACTCGCCGATCAGGCTCGATCCGGACTACCTGGACGCGATCGCGGACAAAGACCAGATTGTGAGGAAGAAGCTGAGAGCGCCAGGCCTGGACAACGAAGATCCCAGACCGTCGGCGCTCGACTGGTCCGAGGCTGACCTGGATCGTCAGTATCACTTGAAGGAACTGCGAGACTTCTTGCGTCAAGATTCCGTCATGGTGATCTTGCGGCCAGAGCAGATCGACGACCCGAAGGGCCCGTTCTCGGCCCCCCGAGTGACGGACAACAAGCTGATGGCGGTGAAGAACCTGCTCGGACTGTTGAAGGAAGCCGGCTTCGTGGCTGGCGCCTTTGAAGCGAATGATCTTTTCGATCAGGATCTTGATGTGTTCCAGATAGCGATCCAGACATTGGTCGACAAGTTGAGACCTTTGGTCGACGTGATCGCGGACAGTCCGGACCCGATGGTGCCAGATCTAGTGTCGCCAGCTCCCGCGTCGTCGCCGCGGATGGAGTCCACTGGGTACCGATCGTCGTCTCCTTATGTCTCCGCAGCGGAACACGTATCGGATACGTCGTCTGAACCTCAACGGATGTCCCTCGGCCCTTCCGGATCTGCGATGTTGGACGCACGATCACGGAGTCAACGTCAGGAACCAATGCGATCAGGACCTCGGAAGCAGAAACCCAAGTCGACCGATCGGACCACCAGTGCTACCGGATCAGATGAGTCGAATGGCAGACTGGAGTCTTACTTTCAGGCTGCGATGACTCGATTTCTGAAGGAACAACAGGCCATGGTGGTAACACCTACTCCAGTGGTCGACGACCACGTTGGATCGCGGGACGTGGAGATGGAATCAGCCGGATCGCCGGATCAAGATTTCTCTCAGTGGGAATACGATCCGGACGACATTGATCTACCGAGTTCGGTCCCTGCTGCGGTGGCCACCGCTGCCTCAGGATCCACTGGGTCCTCATTGATCCAGCGTGTGCGGATTCCGGCGATGTCCGATCTTAAGGAGTTCAGTGGCAAGGATCAGGACGAAGACCGCGCCCGATCGTGGATCAGCAAGGTAAAGTCGGCGTTCCTGCGAGATCAGGCTACGGACGAAGAGAAATGTCTGACCTTTGCTGATCTACTGACGGGCCCGGCGAAGAACTGGTACCGCCAGCTGGGCCGATCGACGCGGAACAAGTGAAGCGATCTACTCCGGAGTTTCCAGATCCAGTATTGTGGCCTGGGAGTATCGGTCGCTTGGCAGTATTACCATTCTCGCAAGAGGTCAGATGAATCGCCGTTGGAGTATCTCTATCGACTAAATGTGGCGGCTCTGCGTGCGAGATTGAAGATCAAGGACGGAGATTCCAAGGCCCGCCAAGAACATGTCGAACACTTTATCGAGACGCTGGGAGATCCGGAACTGGCCGATCGGCTCACTCTACTCCGGCTTGCGGACGCAGAAGATCTGGAGGAAGTCCTACGCGCTCGAGAGCGCGCGAAGAGCAGACAGAAGCGATCTGCCTTTGGATCGAAGTATCGTCAGAAGGTTCCGACCTCCGCACCAGCTGCTGCAACCAAGCGGGCAGTGCGTGTAGTGCAGATCGCGAGCCAGGAGTCTGGATCGGACACGGGATCAGACGGATCAGACTCGGAGGGTGATCTACGTCGCGTTTACCTAGCGTCGGCCGAGGACAAGTCCCGCAACGCTGGGGGCGACGCGACGAAGCCGGATCGAAGCAACCAGGCGCAGATCAACCATGACGCACCTCGATCGGATCCACGATCTTCACCTGACGGATCGGAGCGATCAAACCGCTGCTCACATTGTGGATCGCGGAAACACACCGATCTCGATTGTTGGAGACGTTTGACGTGCGAGAAGTGTGGCAAGAGAGGTCATCTGGCGGATCGCTGCCTGTTTGTGTGCCGTGGATGTGGTGAACTACACGCGGTAGATCGAGTAAGTGGACGGACTGATCTACGCGGTAATACATGTGATCTGCATGCGAAATCTACCGCCAAGGTCTTAAGTCTACATCGATCGGACGACTTCAGCCGTTCTGACGCCGAAGTGCCCTTGGATGTCCAGTCTGGAGAAACGCGGGGCTATTGGAAGCAACGCAGACCGGAAGAATTGTTCACGCCAGCTGATGGAGAAGTGACGACCGAGATCCCGGAGCATGATCGCGATCGAAGTCGGCCTCGCGTCAGTGAACACCGCAGATCTGGCGATGTGGTGCCCGATCTCCTCCCTGGAGAGTCCAGAGGGTACTGGGAACATCATTCACCAGGTAAGTGGTTCCGTCAGGCCAAGATCACTGGCAAGATCAACAATGAGAATTCGATCTTACTCTTAGATACTGGCGCCGAGGTGGCCATCGTGGACACCGCCTTTGCTCGTAAGGTGGGGTGCTATGTCGACACGTGTCAGAGCCAGGAATGTGTGGGGATTGGTGAAAGCGTGTACATGACGGAAGGAAGGACCAGGATCAAGGTTACGCTGGTAGGATCGCTGGTGTATTTCTTCGATATCTGGGTTGGCGATCTATCAGGACAAGAGGCGATCCTGGGTATGGACTTTATGGTTCCAGCGGGGATCCGCCTCGATCTTGCGGACGGCTCCATCTGTCTCTCCAACGAAGTCAAGATCCAGCTTAGCGGACGGCGTCAACTGTACAACGACAATGTCCGACACGTGTGTGTGGATCAGGGAATGCAGATCGCGATCGGGGATTCGATCGAGCTTCCGCTGCGAATGAAGGTGACGGATCGAGAAAAGCTATGGGTCACCCGAGGAGATCGCTGGGTGCCAACCGTGGTCCGAGGACCTGGCGGGATCAGATATCTCCAGATTACCAACATCAGTGACAAAGATCTTGTCTTGCATCGAAATGAACGGATCGGGATGTGGCTGGCCGGAGATCGGATACCCCGGATCCCAGGATATGTGTCGATCGGATCTCGTCGATACATGGAATGGCAGAATCTAGCCTTTCAAGCCACGATAGATGACCGACCGACGGACCAGGAGGCACCAACGGGACCTCCAGTACCTGCCGTCGAGCGACCGATTTATCCAACGCCCCGAGCCATCCTCCAGAGACGCAAGGTATCCCCGATCGTCGATCAATCGACGGGTCCACCCGATCCACCAAGCAAACCGGAGGCAATGAGCCCTGATCCGGGGGTGGCCGTCGTTGATACTCCTAGATCAGGGGGCGGACCGTTGCAGGACGATGATCGCGTGACAGAGGAGTCGGGGTCGTCAGCTTCAACTGTCCTCGTCGGAGATCCACCAGACCCACGGTCGGATCCTGTTGAGTCGGTGTGTGAACCTTCCAGATCGGAGGAGGAATGCTCTCCAAAGCGGAAACAGGTGGGGCTAGACTCCCAGCCTTCGCCGATCACGGATCAAGCGTATGCCCCGATAGATGACGCGAAGCCGTAAGATGATCGTGCTGGCGATCCAGAGGGGAAGCCAGATCATGTGGATTCCGGTGGTAACGCAGCTGAGAAAGGCGAAATCGTGTCCCCTCACTTGCCATCGGCCGATCAGGTCGACGGTTGTGCCGTCGAACCAGATCTTGGGGGCGGGAGTACCGATCGGACACACCCTTTTGCGGTCTTAGCTGTGGAAGAGGCGAGATCAAGTGACGATACAGCAGTCGACGGTGTTCCAGCATCTGAACGACTGCCGCAAGTGGCTGAAGACTCATCGATCGTTGGAGGTGATCAGCTGGGAATGGAGCCCAAACCCACTTCAAATCGGGGCGATCTCGCTACATCCGAACCCGATCGAGACGTTGGCGCTCACGATCAGGTCCATTACCACGAGGGCGGGAATCTGCCAGCAGAAGAGGTCGAAGGTGAATTAGCTGTGCTTCCTGAAATTGTGATCTCGACGATAGACGAGGTGAAGATCGATGATATTAAGGTGGGTGATCTGGAGTTCAACACCCCGGAGGAGATCGATCGGCTGCGAAAGAAGATCTGGCACAGGAATCACCTGCTGATCGGCAAGGGCAATGCACTCCCCCAGCAGCCCGGGGCGTCGCCTTGCGACATCGACGTGGGCGACGCGAAGCCGATCGCTCAACGCGTCCGGAAAGTTGCCCCTCAGTTCGTGGAGAAGGTGTCCGACCTGATCAAGGGATTATTGTCAGCCAAGATGATTCGGAAATCTCGATCACCATGGGCCTCGCCGATCGTCGTGATCATCAAGAAGAACGGCGTGGATATCCGACTCTGTATCGACTATCGGCTCGTCAACAGTCTAACTAGGCTGATGGTATATCCGATGCCCTTGATCAACGACCTGCTGGAAGATCTGGACAAGGTACTCTGGTATTGCTCTTTGGGCATGGCTAGTGGATTCTGGGTGGTGACAATCACCGATCGAGCTCGTGCGATCTTGGCCTTTATCACCCACATGGGTCTGTTCGAGTGGAACCGGATGCCGTTCGGCTTGAAGAACGCTCCTCAGATCTACCAGCGACTTCGGGACGACGCGTTGTATGGGTTCACCAGGATCCCGCGATCGTCAGACTGTGAAGTCACTACGGACTTGATCGAGTCAGGAGAACCAGAAGATCCGGGGCGTCCATCAGTGCTAGGTCGCAGATCGTACATCGATGACATTCTCGTGACGGCCGGATCATGGGATGAGCTGTGCGATCGTGTGGATCACCTGCTGGACGCTTGTGATAAGTGGAACCTCTCGATCAGTGTGGAGAAGAGCTCTTGGGGGATGCGTAAGGTGGACTATCTGGGACATCGTGTGTCGAACGACGGGCTAGAGGCCAATCCGAAAGATCTCACTGCTCTGACTGATCTGCCGTTCCCCGGATCGCTCCGATCGATGCAGTCGTTCTTGGGCAGCCTCAATTATTACAGCCGTTTCTTGGAAGATTACGCGATCTACGCGGCGATCCTGTAAGAACTGCGCGAGGTGGATTTCGCCAAGCTGAAGAAACACCCCGATCTGCGCCAGATCCTAGATCATCAGATGCCGAACTTAGTGACTACAGACCCAGTCGACCCCGATCGGGCTTCATCAGCTCCTGAAGTCGGCGTCGGCGATGAACGCTTGATCCGTGCTCATCGTGCCTTTTCGACTCTAAAGATGAAGATCGCGACGACACCGATCCTGCGGCACTTCGATCGCAAAAAGTGTGCTGAAGTCCGACACTGCATCCACCGGTTGTGAAAATGCGCGTGTAGAATGGGGTAAGAAGATCCCTGAGCAGGCATTCATCACCCTTCTCAACTGCGTTGTGCGAGATCTGAATCGAAACGGGAATCGACGCGTGGCTACGTCAAGCAGGAGTGGCGTGATATCTGGTTCACATCTCACACGTTTCGTCGAGCTGGTGCGCAATACAGGTTCATGTTTGCTGTTCCCGAGCGTCGGTGGTCACTGCGCATGGTGAAGTGGTGGGTGGGATGGACCCCAAATGAGTCGGCCGAGACGCTTGTGCGCTATCTACTGGACCAAGCGGCTAGTGACGAAGACAAACAATTAGCGGACTGCTTAGCGCCGGATCGCGAAGCGCACTCGGGCTGTCCTACCACGTACTCAGGTTGGAAGCGAAACCTAACGATTCCTGTCCGACAGCCCCCATCGGCAGATGCCATCGAAAAGCGGCTGAAAATTGTTGAGAAATCCGTCAAAGCGCTCCACGACAAGATTGACTTGCTGGTATCCGTCTTGCAATGTGGCAGGTGTTGGTCTATTCAACGAGTCGTGATGAGACTCTGCAAGGACGAGAACGCCGTCTCTACGAGCAATGGTTGGCTGAACAGCCGCCTGCGCTCGAGCGCCGAACTTACCCGAAGCCGCGAAAGATCCTCCCGAGGCCACCCGATGCCCCGCCATGGCCAGAAGGCCGTCGACAAGCACCGTTGGATGATGAGTACTCGTCTCCCGATGTACATGGCTACGACGACGACCCCAGGGCCAGTGAAGGCTCGGTCGAGGTCGCTCGAGCTGATACAACCGATGTGGAACGTGCTGGTGGGTCGAACGATGGTTCGTACGACGAGGCCAGCGCGTCGGATGACTCGGACGTACCCGGAGATTCGCCGCCTAGCCGAGCGGGTTGCCTGCCCGTGAATCCGAACAGTGGTGCTGACTCTACCGGCCAGGGAGCGACATACGCCTCGGTTGAGGCATCGGAAGCCAGTGATGAGCTGCGTGATGGTGACAGCGTGACGAACGACGGTTCGGAGGATGACTGCGACGTGGTAGCAGTGGCCGAGACAACTACATGGGATGTCCTGCCAACAGGGACCGCTGCGTCCAGCCTGAAGCTAGGAGAAACGTCGGTTGCGGTGTGTAGTAGCGAAGTCAACTGGGGTGAACACGACCCAGGGCCTAACGACGTTCCTACTGAAGCCGGAACCTCCACCGCTGACGCCGACACTGAATTCCATGATTCGGATGTAAGTGCGATCGATGACCCCGACCAGGTACTGGAGGCGACCTATATCTCGGTCATGCATGCCATGGTTGCAGAAGGGTCTGGCGAAGGTGATGACACCGTGAACGATGTTTCAGAACATGTCGCAAACAAGAATAATCTCACCAAGAACGCGCTGGAGTATCTACCGACACCTCGACTGAAGCCTACCACTCGGATTTGGCTCTACATGGAACGAGGTAAACCAAGACACGAGTGCTGATTCTCGGTGGCGGGCTGGCCGAGGTTTCGAAGTGGAACGAACTTGAGATGATGAACCTGTGCGCAGCCGAACATCGTTCGTTTTGGTGGTGACATGTACGAGTTGCGAGGGCAGCATTATTTGTTTGCACGTGGCCCAAGTCGCGGACGAGGACTAGTTGCATACGTTAACGACGATTGACCTGCTCGCGAGGGTAACCCAGCTCGCGACGACAGACGAAAGAAGCGACTGGAGATGATGATTGAACTGCCTGCGAGGGCTATCCAGCTCGCAGTGACAGACGAAGGAAATTACTGGAATTTGCATATTACATGTGCTGTGAACGAGGCACGATGGAGTGTCATGTCAGAATGCCTTGGTCAGCACCTCAGCAGATGAAACGAAGAAGGATGAAGCTCAAGGGAGGGTGACCGAGGCATCGGACGCCGATATTAACATGGAAGAAGCTCGCGCTCGTGCGCCGGACCTCGGCTTGCGACGATGTATGGATTTGATGATGAAGAGGAGATACGAGTGGATCTGGGACAGCTACGACCGACATGTAAGTCTCGTTCAAGGCAGCGGTACCTGCTGTAGCCTGCGCGATAACTGTGGGAACCCTCAACGAGAATTGGTGCGACACGATTGCAACACGGCGAGTCGTCGGGTGGAGGCTTGGGTACCCAGACCTTACGTTACGACCACCGAGTATTTGCTGTAAGTGCATCACGAACCACGGCCAACACTGGTACGGTTTCTCACGCCAAAGAGGAAGAAGCTGAAGGCTCGACCAACGTTTCTGGTGCGGTGGTTTCCGAGCCACAGACTGAGGCAACTAAACCCGATTTGATTACGACCACCGGAAAATCCGGATGGAACTGTGGAACGAAGGCAACGAAACCACGGTCAACACAGCTACACAATCTCCGAGTGATAACGAAGCAACTGATGGTGTGACCGACGTTGGCGGTGCAGCGATTCGCGAGCTTCAGGCTGGGGCAACCATACCTGCCTCCTTTACGACCACCGAAGTTCCGACGTAGTAATGGTGTAAGGCTGAACGAGTCATCGCACGTTCCCTGACTACTGCCCATGCAGTGGAGCCCTCGAACGACACAGAACCGGCTACAGCAGAGGCCAGTGTCGCTGAGAAGCATGCGGTCGAGGTGCGGCGAGCGGCGGTCCGCAGCCTGTCGATGGAAGGTCGGACCATACGACCACCGGAATCCCGGTGGTGTAGCAATGGATGGAGTACTGATTGGAAAGTGAACGGCTGCCGTACGACGTCCTGTTCGAGTTCAACACGTTGCAAAAGATGACAGTGAAGATGGAGTAAACGGAACCAACATGCAAAGACCAGCAGCCTGCATCTTATCGATGGAACGACCAAGGTCGGACCATACGACCACCGGAGTGCTCCTGGTGTGTGCGTTGCCATGTGCCCTGTAGCGGCTCTAAGCGTCCTCAAAGTCTCGGTGGCCCCAGCAGAAGCTGAAATACCACAGGAGGAGCCTTGTCGTGTGTTGACCGACGCTTCAGTAGCGACGAAAGTTACTGGAGGCCCGGTCACATGTGCAGCTTGCGCCGGAACCGTATTATCAGCGCCTACAGGAGCGCCGGTTGGTAATGAAAGATCTTGCGGCCCAAGAGAGCGTTGCAAGGTGTCGGTGACTACACTGACAGCACCCTTGGATGACGGAGAACAAGCTAGCGTAACTAACGAGGATCCATATGATGGTGAAGCGCAACCAGACTCGACCGTACAATATCGAAACACGGAAGGTCCCGGAGCGCGGCGGTCGCAGCGGTTAAGCGCAAGCGCGACGGATAAACCATGAAGGCGACGGACGGAGGGCGCCTAGACGCTCACCTGTTGTAGAGGCTCGTGTCCAGGCGGGGGCAGCTGTGGTATCGGAAAATGACAGTTCCCGGAGCGATCGCCCGTCGCCTAAGAATCAAGGTACAATCAAGGAGCAGTCAAGCGCGAGATGGAGGTAGCCGCTTTTGTTAGGCTGACTACATTATCCTCGTTGGACTGACAGATAGGTGCCGGAGCTTCGTCGGGTCCTAATACAACCCCGAACGAGGCTTCATGGTACCCACTTTTAGGTACATATGCATTTAGTTGCGTACTTCGACCGCGCTTATTAGTGTGGCCGTGGTCGTCATTTGATGTGTCCAGGATCGCCCCGTTGCGATCGTTCACACTTGATATTTGTATAGGGACATAGGACTAGTCAAAGGATGACCAGAACGAGGCTCCCAGAGCCTCACAAACTCAGTAATAAAAAGACAGTCTTCCCCCAAAGCAAGTCCGACTTCGGTAAGTGTAGCTAGCTTATTGCAGTGCCTGGACACGCTCGGCTGCGTGTGGATGCCTGTCGGGGAGCTTATCGTGCATTGACCGAGAGTTTCCTTGGCAGCGCCAAGAGTTGGCGTGGCCGGAGAGGCAGGAACGGTATTAGAGTATCGTTCGGTATATATTTGTGGGATTAGAGTATCCCTGAGTGTATAAGTCTACCTACCGAGGTTTTACCTTGGTCCCCCTGTATAAGGCCTAACACGTCGGTACCCTTCCTTTCTGAGGGACTGCAGTGGGGTTGCGCGAAAGCGCCACATAGTATCCTAGCCTAAGCTCGTGGCTAGTGGTACAGGTTTTTGGGTTGGCCGAAGACAACCTAAGGTGCACAGATGCGCTTGCAACCGACCCGGTGTAAGGGATCGTTCCTGGTCTTCAGGTTTTGATCCAATAAGCGTTTACCTTTGCGGGTTAGCGTGTTGTTGGTGTCTCCAATACCTTTTGGTAGAGGAGGATTTTAGTGGAATTACCACACCACATATCTAATGATGTATGCAACATTGCGCCGCATTCATGGCTTCATGCAGCCTGTTCCGGCGCCAGAGATAGTTCGAGACTATCACCGCTCAATGGGCGGCGTCGGCGTTCATGACCAACTGAGGATGCGCTACAGTGTCCAGCTAGCCTACAAGACGCGCAAGTACTACAAGACCCTCTTCTTGGGCCTCTTTGACATGGCGCTGGTGAACGCCTTCAACATCTACCGCTTCTTCAGAAAGGTGAACAACAAGCGCCCCCCCAAAAAACTTTGCGTTTCTAGAAACACTGATGGAGCAGCTACTCGCCGTCGACTCTTCGGAAGCGTTCGCTGCAATCGAGGTATGTGATATGTTGCCGGTTCAACATAGACGTCCACGCTTACGCTGATATCCAACATATCATCGTGTTATGTTGTTGCTTTTGATTGCAGCAAGCGACAAGCGCTCGAGAACGGACGGCGGCTTCCCCAGTCCGAGATGGAGCTACGCAGCGGTCAGCTGCAGACGAAGGGCTTGCACCAGCGGATTGCGACCACCGGCTAGAAGAGAACCCAGATACAGTCGGCTGTGAGCAGGGGACGAAGCGCCGACAAGGTGTGCGCCATCCTCAAGGTGAAGCCAAGGAAACTCACCAAGTACTTGTGCCCAGAGTGCTCCACGGGCGATCGACGGTGCGGGGCAGCGCTTTCTACTGCTATGGTTCTGTGGTGCAGACTAACATGTTATGTTGATGCAGCAAGTATCTGTGTAATGTAGCACGGGAGGGGAGAGCCAAAACCTGCTTCCAGACCTGTCACACCGACTGGAGCAACGGGAACGACACCCCGAAGGCGCTCCTGCAAGAGCACAAGATCCGCAATCGGCCGCCGCCCTCGCGCCCTGGTAAGAAGCGACGGCGCATCGCACAAGGGGGGCGTCACGCCGTCGCGGAGTCCGAGGGAACGGCGGGAGCAGGTCGAAGTGGCGCGTCGGCTAGTGAGGCTGCCGAGGAAGAGAATGATGAAAGTGCAGGGGAGGCAGACGACGAATCGTCGTAGGCAGTGTGTCTGTTCTTTGGTAGCTTGCAATCAATGGAAACTCTACTTCTGCGGATTGCAATCAATGAATGCGTTACTCTTGCTTTCCTGTCATTGGCTGCAACACGTGAAGCCATCGCTGCTGGACGTGTGCAACGATGCAAAGATGGGCTCTCCAATAACCGGAACATTCGTTATGTTGATTTCGCCATCATACGCACTGTTACTGCCTCATTTTGGCTGCATAACATGGCTTTATGTTGTAGGAGCCGCTACTTTACCCACCTGTCTTCTCTCTCGCACAACCCCAACCACCCTCTCCAAATCCGTACTTACGCGGCGACACATACAAAACCCAATATACTTGGATACGGGACGGTAAAAATATACCCTCGTAAAGAGAGCCGGGAAGTAAGGGGTTAAACCAGACATCGTCCACTGTCATACTCACTCTGATGTATCACCGTCTTGACCCCAACGCAAATATAAGGTGCTTACCTTACTACTTAATATGTGGTGGTCGTTCCGATATGCATCACTGATGCAGCATCCGTTTCTTTAGGCCCGATACGCATGCACGGGTTCTCCTTGGCTAGTCGTCATCGTCACTTCTATTATGTACGACGAACCCGTATGCATCGCTGCTAATGCACTAGCGTCGACTTTGCAAGCCTCGATAAAGGCGCTCATTGACGCATCGAGGCGCACGCACAACTCATGAATGCCTTTGTTGTCGGGACCACAGCAATTATACGCATTCGTGCTGCACGTAGTTGTCGCCCGATTGGGCCTTATCTAGCTACTGCCTGCATAAGAATTACCCCCAAGAGCACCAACGCGTCGCATTATAGGGTATTTCCCAAAAAGTGGACCCCCTCCACCTGCCATTTCCCAAAAGGTGCCCCCCCTGAGAATAGTGTGGTGCACACTGTTGGAGGCCCGCCCACAAACACATTGCTCAGTCGCCAAGAGTCCTCAGAGTTCACACAGGGCCCGCACGGCAGCCCGCCCACAAGTCAGCGAGCAGCCCCCACCCCGACATGCACTGCGAGGCCGGCAGTCAGTGACCGGCCACCACTCATCCAGAGGCCGGAACGAAGTGCGAGGCCGGCAACCAGTGCGAGGGCGGCAGTCAGTGAGCGCCGGCAGTCAGTGAGCGCCGGCAACCAGTGCGCGTCGGCAACCAGTGAGCGCCGGGCAACCAGTAAGCGGCAGTCAGTGAGCGCCGGCAGTCGCGAAAGCATCGAGATACATGCATGCACTTTAAGACGGGCATGCTTTGCGAGTCAGAAATTGTGCAACAGTTGACAAGCATTGAGCATCCTAACAATAGAGGAGATAGGTAACGAAGGACAGATAAGTATGTTTAGCTCTCAAGTTGCCTAACATCAACATGTTCTCACTCCAAGTTTCTCCACATGGAGGGTCAACCTCTTATAAACCTTGTCAAACACAATGGTCGGGATAGCATCGCGTTGGGAGATGTGTTCCCTTCGATTAAGGCTACGACGCAGTTCCTTCAGCAGTACAACTACATCAACGACAAGTGCGTGCATCCAGTAAAGGGGAAGAAGCAAGGCGGCAAAAAGAGAACTTATGTCTGCTCGGATAGTTCTTCGTGCAAGTGGCGTGCAGTTATTAATCGTCGCAAGGTCTCCGCCACAGAAAACGAGTATGAAGTTACCGAGCCAAACGACCAGCACTCCGACTCATGTACTTCATACCGCAAGCCAACCCAAAAACTACTAGAGGCCACGGATTCGTTTGCAGCCGCAGTGACAACAAATAAAACAGCTAACATGAGCACGATCCAAGCTTAATCTCAAGAAATGGACGGAGTAAACCTACAGCACCTTCGCAGTGTGTTGTACCGAGCTAAGGATGCGGTGCTTTCAAAGATTGACCTCAAGTGGGCAGAATCGTTCGCTCTGATACCCTCGCTCTTGGAGCTTTTTCGACAGAAAAATCCCGGCACCTGGGTAGCTCTGGATCTGGATACGAAACATCGTTTTCTTAGAGCATTTATTGCTCTTGGATCGGCAATTGAAGGTCTACAGTCATGCCTGCCGATGTACGGTTTCGACGAACTCATTCAAAGAATGAGAAGTATCAAGGTGTGCTTCTCACTCTCCTCGGTCGTGACGGGAATGGGAATGACATTACGATCGCATTTGCGGTGGTGCACTCTGAGAATGAAGACAATATCCAATGGTTCTTCGAGCAATGTGTGGCAGCGGGGCCACGGGATACGTCGGCCGTCCATGTTCTTCTGGGGCTCCGTGTAGTAGTTCCAGTTGTAGCGGTCGTCCGCCAGGTTGTAAGCCAGCGCCGCGGGCATGTGGATTCGCGCCGAGTCCCATTTGCCGACGTCGCTAGGACCGGACTCCACCAGCAGCACCTTGGTGTTCGGGTCGGTTGGCGAGCACGCAGCCGGCAGAGCCTCCGCCCACAATGACGTAGTCGTACTCCCCCGGTGCCGCCGAGGAGCTGAGAGCGCTCTGCACTCCGTGGCGACCACGAAAGGCGAGGGCCTTTGCTTGGAGCGAGCGCTGAAGCATCTTGAATGCGAGCTCGGAGACGGAAGCAGCAGAATGGAAAATGAGAAGCTCCCCACTGCGATCGCTTCGCGCGCTCGGCTCCGGGGCATACGTTGACACGTCCGTGGTTTTGTTGAAGTTGGGAAGGGAACTGCTACATGTGCGGTCTCTAGTGGACCCACTTGTGGACAGGTTATTTCTTTACATGAGTGGGGATCGTCATGATGCAAACGGAGACGTGTACATCAGCAGCGGCTGTCGGTTGAAGCACGGTACGAGTTGCGTCCTCACTGCTGTACGAACTTGTATCCAGAACTTTACCTCCATTACGGGGTACCTACGGGGTACCTAGGGGATACAAGAATCCAATTGTTTTCGAGCGTGTAATTTTGCGGCCCGCCTTCGCCTGACATGGATCATTTCCGTCCAACAGGTTGGATCATTTCAGTCCAACAGGTCCAACAGGCGATGGTGGTAACTCTTTTGTTAAACAAAACGTCTTAAGCAATCAGCCACAACTTCAACCACGTCAATGTAAGCTTTGAAGTTGTGGTCTCTTCCGGGCTTTGCGGCTGGGCTAGACCGCACCGAGCAGCATGGCCTCGTCACGAGCTCTTAACGAGCTCTTAATTAAATGCTTCTTTCACTGTAGCTGGGAATCCCAGTTGGGATAGATGCTGTACCTGCGCTACCGTCTTGTTGCGATGTTAATCGCGCTCTGTAGCTTAAGTTCCATCAGCAGTGAAGCTTGGACGAGTTGCTAAATCGATTTGTTCCGCTTGTCTTTTCAGACATTTTTAAAATACACTGTTGATACTTACACTGCCCGATGCCGCTTTTTAAGTTTACTTTAATTTCTGGAATAACGCGATGTTAGGAATATAAAAATGACCGAATGTCGTTAAATTACAGAGCTGGGTCGACCGATATTCCTCTAGAATATCGCCCCTGTTATATTCCATAGGAATAGGATTTGTTTTGGAATATGGGTAGTAATTTTTGTCCGTAATCTATTTATGGGTTTTACTGGAAGCGACGAAGTGCTGATAGCCCAACCCAAACAGGATTAATTCGTAGGTCGTAAGAACTAGTTCATAAGAACTGTCGTTACTACCTGTTTGATGTCAGATACCGGTATCGCCAGAATCATTTACTTGACTTTTGTATTAAAATCAAATATCTTGAGTTTTGTATACATTCGAATGAGTTACTGTTGTATCGGATCGATTTATCTAAGGGTGGGGATTTTTCTCACGTGTGAAATGAATTATTTTCACGTGTGTGAGATTTTGGCTGTTTTTCATGTGAATCGCACGTGTACGAATGAAATCCACGTGTACGTTTTGAAGGTTCGACTGTTTTCACGTGTGATGGGGATAAGGTCAATCAATATCCTACTAGTTAGCTCAGGGTTTGAGCTTGAGTGCTTTCGCTACGTCAAAAGCTATTATAAGTCGTATTCCAGGGGCCTGGCTGTGGGTTACTGTCTATATATATCCAACGTAGCGCTGCCAAAGCAGCGCAAGAACTCATTCACAGAAAAAAACTGAAGCCCGATGTCATCCGCCGCTTCCTGCAACTCCGATTCGTCGCTGGTGCTCTCGTCAGGCAGTGAATACGATCCTGACAGCGAGAATGACGACCAGATCCGTCTACACCCCGATCTAGACCCACCCAAGGTCCCAACGCCATTTCCAGTTATTCAGTCAGCTCGTGGACCCCCTGCCCATACGAGTAAAAAAACATGGCGCAATCGGTCAAGGGTGACTTTTGTAGGAACTTATACCTCAATGCGCGAAGCGCGTCGAATGCTTGACAGCTCGGAGATGTGCAGATACAAACACGACTACAGCTACACGTGCAAGGCTGGCAGCGTGACCGTGCTGCAGTGCAGTACCCACGACAACTGCGGCAGACCAGCATGAATTACGGAGCAAGGCCCTGGTATATTTGCTTTGCGCGTGATAGGTGAGCACACCACGGATCAGTCCGACGCTCCTCGAACTGGCATCGACAAGCGCTTTGAGCTCGAGGTCGACAACATGTTGCTTGGCGGCGCATCTCCCAGTCGTTGTCTCGTGCTGCTCTCCGAGCGATACGAAGACGACATGGATCTGCGAGACTGTTTACCCGACTTGGTGCAGCTAAAAAACCGCAAGGGCACTTTGCTATCGAACGGGCTGTTCGACGTATCGACAATGGCGGAGCTGATGGAATGGGTAGCTTCGAAGGAATGCAACACGCGTGAGCAGTTTCATCGATACGACGAAGGCAACGATAACTCTGTGTTTGCTGCTCAAGATCCTTTGTGTCAAGACGCACTCATTGTTCTCAATGTGTTTCATGAAAAGATAGACAACTACAATCGTAATGGGCCTACTTTGGCTCACTACTTTAGCTTACACGTGTGCGCACGTGTACGAGGAAGCGTAGCTTGGTTTAAACTAGAGTTAATTATACTCGGGCCTCCGAGTATAGATTAATCTAAATAAACGATCCAAATAATGTTTTGGGTTAAAATGAGAACTGCTATTTTTGTTTTATGTTTCTGACTTCTTCTAAATGTAATATTCTAAACTGGGAATCTGCCAACGGCTGGTTGGCAGAATTCCAATGCTATGCATGTCGCTCATTGGCTAAAAGATGCTGCTTTCAGCCAATAGGAATCCTAAGTCTCTATGGACCACCCGTCGTGGTGATCGTAAATGTATGTAGCCTTTGGTGTGTCTACACCAAGGACGAGAAAGTCTTTCGAACCCCTAACAGACGTCGTGTCTGTTAAAGTCACAAGTGACTGTAGCCACTTGTGCGTGTAACCCCGTTACACCATCCCCCCGTCAAGGTTAGACGTGCCGGTCCTGGCACGTCAACCACCATTGACCGCTTGGTCAATGCGTGACGTTTGAAGAGAGCGTGCTCGTAATGGAACGAGCACGTCGAAGTTGAAGACCCCTGGCGCAGCAGCGGAGAACCTCTCTGGTGCTGAGTAGCATGCGCGGCAACGTGCGAAGCGCGTCGCTGCCGCGGGGGCAGGTACCTACGTCTGCCCTCGAAGTGTCTTCGGGCGCTGCTGTTAACAGCAGCGCTCGCATTGCGTTCCAGTATGTAGCGCATGGTGGGCTTCGTATGCCCTCACCAAGTCTGGAACGTCTTGGAGCAAGACGTTCCGTGGCTTCCATGTATCTTGGTTGGGAGAAATCCTCTCCAACGAGTACGAAAACGAACTGGTTGCCTGTTCGTTCTCGGGATACTGTGATCAACAATCCGCTCAACAATCCATCGCGTTGAGCCGTGTACATCACGAATCGGCGGCGGTGGTGGTGGAAACACGACCCGTGTGTGGTCAACTTGGTGTTGACCCTGATCTCGCGTCTCCCCACGACCGAGTTCCGGTCGTGGAGAAATTCCAGAGCGCTGGGTTCGGCGCTCTGAAGTATCCTCAGGTTGCGGCGGCCTCCCAGACCGCCTCGATCGTTCCGGCCGAGCTGGACCATTAGCTCGACCCGCTGCCCCAGCGCGACTTCGCGCTGGAGAGGATGACGGCTTCCGCCGAGTCTTCTGCTTCGGTTCAGCCGAGCTAGGTAGCTCGTACTGCAGGTATGGCTTGAGCCGTCCGACGTAGAACGTCGGATGGAGGCGCATACTAGACGGTATGTCCAGTGTGTAGGCGTTGCCATGTCGTGCCACCACAGTGGACGGCCCGATGAAGCGCGGAGCGAGCTTGCTCGCCCCGAAGTCGGAAACGGCATGTTTAGGCAAGTTTAGACTAGCTAACAAGATTAATGAACCCTTCTTGAATTCATTAGTGTTGCCCCTACCAACATTGTCTGCGTTCAGCTTCTGTCGGTCGACAGAAGCTGCAATAGTGTCTTGGACAAACCGAATGACGGCTTGTCTGCGCTGCACGAAGTTGATTGCGTCCGAGCTGAACTCGTTCAGCTCGTTTCTAGCAGTAGGCCCGGCATCTGCGTTCGTCTTCGCGGTGTCTGTGCCCTGCACAGACCCGTTCTTCTTCTTCTTGCTCTTGTCGGCGTCTGTGTCCTGCACAGACGCGTGTTTCTTCTTCTTTTAGCTCGTAGTCGCGGCTGACACTGTGCAAGTGTCAGCGGCATTCTGCGGCTGCTGCGGTGCAGTCGGAGATCCTCCCCCACTTAAGGAAGGAGCCACCATCCCGAGTAGACTCGGGAGGCGTGGGTGCGTCATGGCATTCACGTAGAATGGTATATGCCCAGTCGAGGCATGCGCCGAGTTGTTGATGGCGAACTCCGCCATCGGCAGACACTCGCTCCAGTGTTGGAACGAGTGAGCATAGCTCTTAAGCACGTCTACGAGCACGCGGTTCACGCGCTCGGTCTGCCCGTCCGTCTGCGGATGGTCCGCAGTCGACATCGAAAGTTGACTCCCAAGAAGTGTAAACACTTCTTGCCAAAGGTGCGCAGTGAAGCGCGGGTCTCGACCCGACACAATGTCGATCGGCATGCCATGGTGTTTAAACACCATGTCGACGAACAGACGTGCAGTCTGCTTCGCAGTCACTTCAGCGGGTACCGCAGCAAGATGTATCATCTTGCTGAAGCGGTCAACAAAGACCACAACGCCCGTGTTCCCCTGACGTCCGGTGAAAGACCGAACACGAAGTCCAAAGACATGGACTGCCAACACTCTCGTGGAGTTGGTAGTGACTGCAAGGGAGCCTGCGCGAAAGGCGCAGGCTTCACACGTTGACAAACCTCGCAAGCACGGACGTACTTGCGCACCCATTTGTACTGGTGGGCCCAGTAGAAGTCTCGCGTGAGAAGAAGGTATGTCTTCTCACGGCCCGGATGCCCCGCAGTCGGTGCATCGTGATACTCGTACATGATCCTGAGTCGCAGGTCATGGTCATTGGGCACGACAACGCGGTCCGCGTTGTCGTCGACTGCAGTGTAGAGTAATAACCCGTCGTGCACCCGGTAACGGTGTGCACGAGCACGAAGATGCTTCGGCAGCTTCTGACGAGCTTGGTCAGAAGGCGCTGAGCCGTAGGCCAGCAAGAGCTTCGCGTCCGCGTCGTGCGCGTACGCGACCTTCACGTCGCCCAACAGTGACGACGTTGGGGTGCTCGATCGTATGGCGTCAATGGCATTGACGTCGGCATCAGTCGTGGCGTAGTCAGGTTGACGCGAGAGCGCGTCGGCCACCACATTGAGTCTTCCGGGTTTGTACTCAACCCGGAAGTTATACTCTGCGAAGAATGAGAGCCATCTCGCCATCCGTTGCGAGATGTGCGGCGACTTCACAGCTGTCCGCAGCGACGTGTGGTCTGGGTAGACCACGAACGGTTTGCTTCCGAGTAGATACACTCGGAACTTCGCGAGTGCATACTTCATGGCAAGGAGCTCCTTGTCATGTACCGGGTAGTTGCGCTCAGCTGGCTTCAGCTGACGCGATTGGTAGTAGACGACACGATCACGACCCTCGTGATCGTGCTGCATCAACGCACATCCGATTGTGAAGTCGGATGCGTCACATACAACGTGGAATGGGCGATCTTGGTCGGCCACCGCCAAGATCGGCGCCTCAGTCAAGCCCCGCTTGATTGCATCGAAGGCCTGCTGACACTCAGCAGTCCAAACCCACTCGTCCTTCTTCAGGAGCTGTGACAGCGGGCGTATCATGCCCGCGTAGTCCTTCATGTACTTGGACAAGTACGTGGCCAAGCCAAGGAACTGCCGCAGTTCCTTGACGTTCGACGGCGTCGGCCACTCATTGATCACTCTGACCTTCTCAGGGTCAGGGCGGACACCGTTCTTCCCGACGAGACACCCGAGCACGGGTATCTCGCTCGCCCCGAAGATGCACTTCTTCAGGTTCGCATAGAGCTTGTGCTTGCGCATGAGCGCAAGCAGCTTCCGGAGATGCACCTTGTGCATCTCAACATCGCTCATCCCGTCCGCAGCCCGGCTGTGGACGAACACATCGTCGAAGTAGCTCGGTGCGAAGTCGCGCACCGAGCGCAACAAGTGCGTCACGCACCTGTTGAAGGTCGCAGGGGCGTTCTTCAGACCCTGCGGCATCACTAGCCACTCCCAGAGCATGCCGCTCGGCGTGCTCACAGCCGTGACAGGGATATCGCTCTCACGCATGAGGATCTGATAGAACCCATCGCGCAGATCAAGAGCACTGTAGATAGTGCTCCTGGCCATCGAATCGATGATAACATCTTTTCGCGGTATCGGTGTCTGCGCCGGTATCGTCGCATCGTTCAGCTTGTTATACGCATGAACGATGCGCCAGCCGCCCTGTGGCTTCTTGACACAGAACGTCGGAGCACTGTGCGGGGACTTCGATTCCCGCACTTGTCCAGCTTTGCGACGACTTTCGAAGAAGTCGTCGATCGCTTTGACCTGCTCTCGCGGCAGTGGCCACTGCCGCGTGACACAGTACTTCGTCCCCGGCACGAGATCAATCTCGTGCTGGATGCCCTTATCCTGCGGAAGCTCCGCAGGAATCTCTTCCGGAAGTACGTCCGCGTACTCCCGTAAGATCTCGTAGTAGGGACTCGTTGAAAACGAGTCCCAGCTCTGCTCTTCAAAGCGCTCCTTCTTCGTCTTCGCACTGAGAGTGTACTCGCTCTCAGTGGTGGTCTCCATGAAGAACTGCCTCAGTTCTTCATTCTCGCTCTTCGTTCTCTCGGCGTCCGAGAGAATGCATATTTGCTCGATGCGTCCATCGTGCAAGTCACGCGCGAAGCGCTTCCAGCTCATGCCTGGAAGCGAAGTCAACTCCGACGCTTGCGTCGGAGGGTTAGCGAGAGTCATCTCCCTGTACCGAAACCCGGCACAGGTATGCGTCAAGACGTTCAGCGTCTCGACGTCCGGCTTCTCAGCCTCCGTCTGCCCGGCAGACATTCCTTGTAGCGTCTCGGCCCCAGGCCGAGACTTGCGCAGCGACCTTCGCATGCGCCGTCTTCTTGTTTTGCGGAGCCCGGCTCCGCTTGGTTCTTGACCTCGTCCAGGCCCAGCCGTGGACGGGTGTTCTTCTTTAGTACCGCCGGCGGGTTCATCCCGCGGGCGAGCGACTTCAAGCCCGGCTTGGTCGCCCGGCGCTTCGTCGTGCAGCCCGGCTGCACGATAGCATGCAAGTTTTTCCGGTGCGGGACGTTTGCAACCGTCCGCACCGCCTGCAGCGTCGGCTCCCCGAGCCGACGAATCAAATTCACCCAAGCCATCGACTCCCGGAGTCGACGGCGTTACGCCACCTTGGCTCTTATTATTGGCCAGACCTGATCTAATCAGAT